AAGTATGATGATGTCCCCCCTATTTCCCTTGGTCCCCATGGGCTCCATAACCCCTGCACCCCCATCCTGTTCTCCCTTTGCCATTAACTCCTGCTCCCTCCTACACCCTAACTCCTGCACTTTGTCCCTGTGCTCCAGCCCCTTCACCCCAACACCTGCAGTGTCACCTTCACCCCCACCCCTGCATTTCCCTCCCTCCTGACCCTCCAAATCCCCCCTGCACTGCCAATGTGCCTACCACACCACTTCCCTGCTCAGTGCCCCCATCCCCTTACGCCCAGTGGCCCCTCTCCCAGAGACCTCCTTCGCAGATTCCTGTGCCCAGCACCCTCCCACCCACAGCTGCCCAGCACCTCTCACAGCCCCCCCCCACACACACACACACAACTGCCCGGTGCCCCATATGCCAGAGGACATTCTGCACCAAAACATTAAAAATTCAGTGCACAGTATTTTGAAAGTCTATACTATTCTGATAGAAATGTAGCCGTGTTAGTCTGGGGTAGTTGAAGCAAAATGCAGGACAATGTAGCACTTTAAAGACTAACAAGATGGTTTATTAGATGATGAGCTTTCGTGGGCCAGACCCACTTCCTCAGATCAAATAGTGGAAGAAAGTAGTCACAACCATATATACCAAAGGATATACTATTATGTAAATTGTATTTGTCAATAAATAATGCAGAGGCTCCAGCTTGGCAGTGGCCAGCATAGGCTGCTGGAAGCACAGAGGTGGGAGATCACACTGCTGCCTACCCCTCCTCTTCCCTCTCCTGCTAGGGTAGGGATGTGGCAGTGAGACTGCTCTGTGTGCATGTCAGAAGGCCACAGGGAAGTGTTTTACTGAATGGCTGGGATGTCAGCCATGATCCAAAATCCAACTGAATGACAAAAAAGAAATAAAAAGATACCAATGGTTGAGTCCACTGTGGCACCTTAAGGCACATCTACACAGCACGGCTAAACTGATAATAAGCTACTCAATTTGAGCCATGCTAATAGAGTAGCTTAGTTGAAATAGCTTATTTTGACTTTTGGTGCTATCTACATGTCAGAAGGCCACAGGGAAGTGTTTTACTGAATGGCTGGGATGTCAGCCATGATCCAAAATCCAACTGAATGACAAAAAAGAAATAGCCTCAAAAGTATGTCTGTAATAGTCCGTATTTTCAAAAACACGGAGTCCTGTGGCACCTTAAGGCACATCTACACAGCACGGCTAAACTGATAATAAGCTACTTAATTTGAGCCATGCTAATAGAGTAGCTTAGTTGAAATAGCTTATTTTGACTTTTGGTGCTATCTACACAGCAGTTATTTTGAGAGAGAGCACTTTTCCTTTGACTTCCCTTATTCCTCGTACAATGAGGGTTACAGGAGTCGGAGTAAGCAGTCCTCCAGCTCGACAATATTTTGACATTATGTCAAAATAACTGCCTGTGTGTAGAGACTGACTATGCTTATTTTGAAATAACCCTTTGTTTCCCTGTGTTTCAGTTTGCTTTCTGAAGTGGGAATAGCACTTTCCTTTCGACAAAACTTCCGTCGACAAAACGCGGTAGTCTAGACGTACCCTTAGAGACTCAGGGTATGTCTACACTAGCCCCTTAGATCAATCTAGGGAGGCTAATGAGGGTGACCGAAATTGCAAATGAAGCACAGGATTTAAATATCCCGCGCTTGATTTGTTTGTTCTGGCTGGTCGCCACTTTTAGAGATTGACTAGCCTGAAGTAACTGCCCGCATCTACACGCAGCAGTGAAACGGGATTCCAAAATAAAGGTTTACCAGAATTAGCTGGTAAACCTCATTGCAGGAGGATGTGCAACTTGTGAGGTGTAACAGTTAACTCGAACTAAGGACTTAGTTCGAGTTAACGTTTGACTGCCGCGTGTAGCCACAGGCAGTTAGTTTGGACTAGGGGAATTTAAAAATGGCACCCCGACGGGAAGATGCAATTAAAGCCTGAGATATTTAAATCGCAGGCTTCATTTGCAACTTTAAATGACTACATCAGCCTCCCTAGTTCGAATTAGGGGGCTAGTGTTTTAAACCCTAAGGTGCCATGGGAGTCCTCATTTTGTAAAAAAGCAATAGCTGATACCAGTGGCTGAGTCCAGCCCTTTTCCAGTCCCTTGGCTGCCACAGCTCTGGGTCATCACCTCCCAAATGGCCTTTGCATTTCCCTCTAAGCCTGAAAAGCAGAGAGGTGCTTGGGATGAGCAGGTGACTAAGAAAAGGAATTCTATTCAGGCACCCCCCTTTTTTCTGCCCTGATTTAGATATGGCCAAAGCTAATTCTGCATCCTGGGCTGCTGCTTTTCGGCTCCAGGTACATCCCCCGCCCTTTCTGTTTTAGAGTCAGTTTCCTGTTGACACAGGCGTATTGTTAATCATTGAACCTTCTTTTACTTTCCTTTAACTTTCCCTCCTCCCCAGTCAGGTAGTGTCTGTGCCTCTCCCCCCTCCCAGCCCACGTCTACTGCGGATCTCTGCTGGGGAAGGGAGAGAGGAAAAAATCCAATGAGGATCCTTAAAACTTCTGGGCTTAAAACTTCAGAGCAGATTGAGGAAGAGTGAAAAGGAGACTGGGAGACTGCAGGGAACTACCAGCAGGTTAGGGAAGGTGGGCATTAGAGGATCCACAAAGAGTGTTAAGTAGCAATTAATTTGCTAGTCAAGTTGTTGATGGAATTTCCATCAACTAGTCAGTAGGAAAAGGCAATTACAGTGTTCACTTCCAGGTCACAGAACAACCCCCCCCCCCCCCCCCCCCCACACACACATACTCTCTCTCTCTCCCTCTCCCCTTCCCGGCCCTCCTCTCCTTCCCAGCCATCCTCAGCCCAGTTCCTCCTTCTCCTCTTTCCTGAAGTCCCGTTCCCAGCTGTGCTCTCGAACCTCGGTGCCCCTCCTCTCTTCTCAGCCTCCAGGTTCCACCCCGCCCAGCCTGGCTCCCCCAGCTCACTCTCAGGCTGCAAACTTTTGCTTCTGGCCCCATTGGGGCCCTGTTCCTGCCAGAGACAGAGCAGCACCAGCAGAGAGGGACTCATTCCATGCAACTCTGGGCTGAGGGAGGGGGGCAGGATGTAGCTGGAATCCTCAGCTGGCCGGCTGGGGAGTGAGTGGGCGGAGGAGAGGGAGCAGAGAGCAGTCTGCAGGCGCAGCATGGGAAGTGGGCAGGGGAGGAGTCTGTGCAGCAGCCAGTGAGGGGAATCCTGAGCCCTGTGTGGCATCCCCTGGCCATGGTGCCCTGAGCATGCACCCAGTTTGGCCAATGGCTCCCCTAAGCAATTGGGATTTTTGATAATTTTCCCCCTAAACCCTTTAATAACGTGTTCGGGGGATTAAAAAGTTTCAAGCAGTAGCCAAGTTAGTCTGCACAGGATAAACTTTAAAAACTACAAATGGTCTGGTAACACTTTATAGACTAACAAAACATGTCGATGGGATCATGAGCTTTCAAACGTTCAGGGGAAACATTTTAAAAAGCTGCATTCCAAAGTTTTGGTCCAACTTTTGTTTTCCACTCTGGATAAGGAATTGCAGACACTGCAAATGCTTTACTTGCACGCCCATTTACAGTAGGTCTCAGGCATGGGCAATACCCACATTTAAAATGAAAGGAATTTTGAAGTTTATTTCCAATTATTGATCATAACTGAAAATGTGTGCCCCAGCCCAGGCTGGCGGATAAACTCTCAGCAGCAGCAGCCCCTCTGTGACACGGGGGTTCATTCCAACTTAACCGAGGCGCTCAGCTGCACCAGTGCTCATAAAGTAACTATGAGCCCATTCCCTGGGTGCTGCTGAGGCAGTAATGGCGGGACTTACCTGTCTGGGCACTGGCAGGTAGCCCTGTCAAAAACTACTCAGAGTCATACACCCTTCCAAGAGTAACATTGTGTCGTTAGTCCCTGGGTCAGCACTGTTATTCGGAACCTGACTATACCCATGTGGCTGCTTCGTATGAACACGGCTGGGGAAGGGGCAAAGGAGGAGGTGCCTCTCCCTGGTGATTCACATGACAGCTTGTCTAAAAGGCTTTGGCTGTCAGCCCAGAAAGCCAGGGCATCAGTTAACACTTTCTCCCCAGGGGTGTAAAGATTTACAGAGCTGGAGTTTCCCCAGGCTCTGCTCTGAGACACCCAGCCAGCTCCTTTCCCCTGTTTTAAGCCCTACAGAGGAACTGTCCCCTCCTCACTTTCCCTTTGCTTCCTGTCCCTTGTTTGTTGTTCCACCTCCCTTGACTGGGCCAGGTGCCTTGTCATCAATAAGCCCTTTGTTTTGTTTCTCTCCTGTTTTGTAGGGGTGAGCGTCTGAGCAGCATGTCAGGGTTGCAAGAGGGGATGGAGTCTCTCCATGGCGCACCTGTGAGATGGATGGAGAGAGCATGAGCAGGGCAGACATGTCCAGAGGGGAAGTGAAAATCAGCATTGCTTTAAAATCAGCTAAAATGCAGACTCCTGTATGTGGTATTTCAGATTTTCCTAGGAAAGAGGACCTGAAAACCTCTCATCCGCTTTCGTTTGTAGCCTCCCCACAGCTCCTTCCTCTTTGCAGCCAACAGTCCTGAGATCATTAAATCTTCTGGACAGAGCCCAGTTAGCTGCTTGCTTGGAAATCTTTTTTTAGTTTTATAATTGTTAGATGTTTCCTTTATGGCTGTTCCTGCAACTCCAGGATACCAGTAGCTGCATGGGGCGGTGGCTATGTGTTGCTCTCTGTGCCCCACAGGGCTACCTGTGCAATTAATTTTTCTGCAAATCCATTTGATGATAAATACATTATGATAGCACCTTTCATCCTAAACTGCAACAGCCTTTACAAGCAGTAACTAAGCGGCATAACGCCCCTGGCAGTTACATAAGCACAATAGTCCCCATTTTACATAAGGAAACTGAGGCACAGAAAAACATCACTCTCATCACTAGGCTACACTTCTTCCTTCTGCATAGGAATAAGAGTTGCTATAACTTACTAACTATTAATGATGGGACTTTGCACTTGAGTTTTGCTTGCTGATACCTGGTGATGGAAAATCAAAGCAGCAAAATCAGTGACCTGCTTCAAAGTGCTCTTGAGGACCTTTTTCAGGAGGCCTTCAAAAAATTTAAAGACAAACTCTCACACACTGACTTTGAGGGGAAGGGCCCCATCCCCCGAGGTCGGCTGGAGAACGCCGACAGGATAGACACTAAGAACCTCCTGATGGAATTCTATGGTGGAGCTGCTGCCGTAGAGGTGACCATCAATGTTCTCACTCAGATCAACCACCGAGATTCTGCTGCAAAACTCAGAGCAGAAAGTGAGAAAGGTAAGAAACCCCAAGTTACCGTAAAATCCAGGAATGTGCCCTGGATTAGCAGCAAAGAGAGTAGAACAAGAAACAGGCTGAGAATGGGAATGACTTTTTTAATCGAAATTTTGGTTTTTAGCCCATACTTTTTGGCTCTTGAGGGGTTTTGTTGTTGTTGTTGATTGCTTGTTTGTTTTGTCTTTTCTACCAAAATCTCAAAATTTTCTCTGGGGGAGAGGGGAAAGGAGGAGAGGAGGGGAAGAAATTCTATCCAGCTGCAATAGTCTCCCGCATGTGCTGCTCGTGCTCAGCAGTGGGATGCGGAGGGAAATTGGGTCAGGGCTTTACCTCCTCTCTGCTTCTCACGGTCACTTCAGGGTACTAGGTTCCCCTAAGGTTACACTTCCTCTGCTCCTCTCAGAGCAGGTTTTGCAATGATCCCTGGTTCTTGTGTGGGAATTACAAGGGTGCATAATTAGAAACCAGCCACATCAGCACAAACACCAGGTCCAGACTAGCTCTATTCTAGCAATAGTGTCCATGACACTGTAGCTGTGGGTGAGGCAGCAATGCCATCATAAAACCCGGGGTTAGGTTTTCAAACGTGTGCATATTAGGGATGTTAAATATCAGTTAATTGAATAGTTGAGCAACTTCATGAATTCTTATCAGTTACTCAACTATTCTATAGTTCCTGGAGGCAGGGCCAGAAGCCAGTGCAATCTGGCCCCACTTCTGCGGACCCCCCTGCCATTCTGTATCAGAGGCAGCAGCACAGGGTGGCAGCAGCCCCTGTCTGTGGGGGAAGTGTCTGAGCTCACAGACTTGGCATGAGTCAGGCCGCCTGTCAAAGCAGCTCCTAATACACTGTAAAATCAGAGCCTCAGCAGGAGTAGGTCTCGGACCTGGTGCAAACTTTTATTTATCAGATAGTCAACTATCCTTAACATCCTTAGTGCAAGCTGAGACTGAGCTGTGCTGCTCGCCAGCCTGCTAAAAAATTTCCTGTGCGGGGGAGAGGGTTAATGCGTGTAGTCTCTAGCATTAACTGATGAGCATTTGCTTATTGGTTAATCAGTTTATCAACTACACTATTACATCCTTAGTGCATGTAAAACTTCAGGGCACACTGGCAGTGACTCTGGGGGTTTTCTACCTCCCTGTGCAGTGTGTGGGGCAGGTGACTTGCCAGAATTATCTGGATATATCTTACTCTCCTGCCATTGTTGGTGTCTCAGAAACAAGAAAGTAGACTATTATGTGCCACAGGCAGGCATCTCAGTCTCCTCTGTGGCACATAATAGTGTAATTTCCTGTGGGCTGTAATACTCGGGTCTCATTTTGGTTGTTGCATTTCATGTGCAGGTGCTGGGGGGTGTTGATCACTTGTTACATACGGGATGTCAGACTACATGATCTGATGGTTTCCCCCTGGTCTGTAGCATTGTTGCAGTTAATCTCCCTTGTTAGTTTTGTCAAAGGAAAAGAAGAAAACAGCACAAGTTAAAGAAGAAACAAGAGGGAACAAGAGACGATGGGATCAGGGATCATGTGCAGAGACACATCATACTAAGGAGTTGCTAGTTGATAATCCATCTTTGAAAGGCTCTGGTAAGACTGCACTTAGAATATTGTGTCTACTTCTGAGCCCAGTTATGCCCAGAAGCTGCATATCAAATGAGGGGAACTCAAAGAAAAACAATAAATACAAATAGAGGACTGCCCTATTGACCTGTAAAGAAAGAACAAATATACTAAAATGTTATGGCCAAAATTGTAGGGTATATCTACATTGCATTCCTCCTTCAAGAGAGGAATGCAAATGCAGACAAACGAAATTGCAACTGAAGCATGGATTTGAATTTCCCACACTTCATTTGCATAATGGCATCCGGCTGCTTTTCCGAAATACCGTATTTCAAGAAAAAAAAGGGTTATTTCGAAATTCCTTAAAAAATGAGGTTTAAGGGTTATTTAGAAGGAAGGGTTTCTTTTCGAAATAACCCCATTTTTCCCCTTGAAATATGGTATTTTGGAAAAGCGGCTGGATGCCATTATCAAATGAAGCGCAGGAAATTCAAATCTGCACTTCATTTGCAATTTCATTTCTCTGCATTTGCATTCCTCTGTCGAAGGAGGAATGCAATATAGATATATCCTTATAGAGGTACGAATTCCACATGGACACATGCAAAGGTGCTTGCTATGAGGAAGCCATTTGCTGTGCACTTATTGGATCAATTTTCCCTGTAATAGGAACTGTGTGATGACTATTTGTAGAAATGCTTCACATGTGAATACTGCTGAATCATTTAATGCCTTTTGGTTGGTCTGTGCGCTCCTTCTCAGGCTAGAACAAACTTTTTGTTTGTTTCATATGGTTTGCACATGACCTGTAGACTGGCTTAATGGTGCCCATGGTTTAAATCATTTTGAAGGATATTTTAACACTTTTAATGTAACATTCTAAAGTGCTGCTAGAATTTTGGATGGGATTCATAGTTCATGTTCCCCATGACTTCCTCCCCCTCCCCCCTCATGGGCCCTTTCTTCTTTCTGGACTACATCTCCCACAATGCACCTTGTGGCTCAACACGAGAGAAAAATATGGTGCATCAGGGAAGATGTAGTCAAGTTAGGGACCTTGGCCCATAGAGGAGAGTGGTCCTTCATAAACAAGTCACCTGTCTACTAAAACAGTGGCACTTTCCATACTGCACTCCTCATAATTAGAGACGGGCCTTGACTGAATAACCCGTGTCCAGTCCTATCCTGCAGTGTGTGGAGAGGCAGAAACAAGAAATAGGAGTGGAGGGGGAAGCAGAGAAGAGTATCCAGAGGTAGGAAAAACAGAAAGGGATTAAAAGAGCTGATGAACAAGAGGGGAGAGAAAATATAACCAGGAAGCAAGAAGAGAAGCAGTCAGAAATAGTAAAAAGGTACTGTGGGGAAAAGGAGGAGAATAGAGAAACTAAAAGAAATGATCAGAAGGGGGGAAAAAAAGAATGATCCACATTATCCTTGTTTAGAAAAGGACTTAAGCAAATTCTTAACTTTAAGCACATCTCAAATCTCATTCATTGTAATGAGACTTAAATCTGTGCTTAGTGCACTGATGAATGAGACCCAAGGGGAGAGATGATCATGTACAAAGTAATTAGATTGTAAAAGACAAAAGACTATTTTTAACATATAAAATCCTAGCGAAATGTCAAGTCACATGATGTGGCACTAGTAGAACGGAAAGAGTAGAATGCCATCAAAATTTTCTTTGGTCCAAGTTCTGGATATAACTAATGAGTGGCAGTTCACATGACCTTTGGTTGAGAGTGGCAGTACACATGACCTTTGTTTGAACAGATGTACACAGTATGTTTAATGCTTCATGCCACTGTCATTGAATTAGCTTACCAGAGGAAGTATAGAGAACATATACAAGAAGAATACCAAGTCATAGAAGACACGAATGCTCGCCCAGGTGAACATGTGAGTCTAGACAAAAGATACACGGAACTGCTTATTGTAAAGGAACATCGGGGACAGGAGGAGAAAGAACATGAAATCATCACCAGAGGAAGGAGACACGCAGAACTGATGGCTCAACAAACCAGTCTCACTCAGATTAGTCTGTTATTTGATCCTGATGGAAATCGACAAAGCACAAGAACTGTTGTGCTGCAGGGAGTTGCTGGGATTGGGAAAACAATGACAGCGAGAAAGATCATGTGGGACTGGGCAGCTGGAAATCTCTATCGGAAAAAGTTTGATTATGTTTTCTATATAAATTGCAGAGAAATAAATTGTATTATTAAAAATCAAAGTGATTCCAAAAATGAACGTGGTGCTGACAATCGAAGTGTTGCTGATTTGGTTTTGAGCAATTGTCCTGATGGAGGAGGACCAATTAAAGAAATCTTTGAGAAGCCAGAAAAACTTCTGTTTATAATAGATGGTTTTGATGAATTAAATTCCTTGCTAGAGATTGATGACGTTAGCCTGTGCACTAACCCATTTGAGAAGAGGCCAGTGGAAATCACCTTGTGCAGTTTGTTGAGAAAGAAAGTTCTTCAGAAATCCTTCTTGCTGATCACAACAAGACCAACTGCCTTGGGGAAACTAAAGCAGATTTTGAAATTTCCACGTTTTGCAGAGATCATGGGATTTTCTGCAGATGAGAGGAAAGAATATTTTCAGAAATTCTTCCGTGATGAAAAGAAAGCAACACAAGCCTTTACTTTTGTCAAAGAAAATGAAATGCTCTTCACCATGTGCTTTGTCCCCATTGTGTGTTGGATCATCTGCACGGTTTTGAAACAACAGATGGAAAGAGGGGAGGACCTTGCACAAACTTCAAAAACAACCACATCAGTATATTTACTCTTTCTCTCCACTCTCCTAACTGATCATTTCACTGACACAATAGAACAGTCTAAAACTAACCTCTGGGCACTTTGCTCATTGGCTGCAGATGGAATTTTAGAACAAAAAATACTGTTTAAAGATGATGACCTGAAGAAACACAATTTGTCCTTGTCTAATATTCACTCTCTCTTTCTGAATAAAAACATTTTTCAGAAGGATACAGAATATGAAAATGTCTACAGCTTTATTCACTTGAGTTTCCAAGAGTTCTTTGCAGCTTTGTTCTATGTGCTGGAGGAAGATGAAGAGATAATGAAAAATTCTCTGTCTTCTAAGAAAAATGTGGAAAGCTTGCTAAAAAATTATGGAATATCTACAAATAATTATTTGATGCTAACAGTGCGTTTCTTGTTTGGTCTCTCAAATAGAGAAAGACTAAATGACACAGAGAAAAAATTACATTGTAAAACATCGTCTGGAATAAGAGATGATTTATTGCAGTGGTTTGAAGAAGAAACTAAAAAAATCTCCTCTCTTTCCTATAAGACCTATGAGGAGCTGCATGACCAGCTTGAATTGTTTCATTGTTTGTATGAGAGTCAGGAAGAAGACATTGCAAGAAGTGCAATGGATAATTTCCAAGAAATTAGGCTGGAACATCTCAGGCTCACAACAATGGATGAAATTGCTCTTTCGTTCTGTGTAAAAAACTGTAGTAGTAAGCAGTCACTTTACCTATGTAATTGTACCCTTGGGATTGGAGAACGAGAAGAAGGATGGATAGCAAAGCTACGCAAATGGTTGTTTCCTCTGTAAGTATCAAAGTTTATCAGTTATATATTTGAGAGAGTTCGTCTGACTCTGTGAGACTGTCTGTGTGCACATGTGTGTTTCTTCAAGACTGTTCCTATATGGTAAGAACTAGGACCACCAAATTTAATATGCAGCTTCCTCTTATTGTGACTTATAGTAAGGTCAGGATTTGGTTGTGCCAGGAAACTGGGCTCCAGGCAGGGGAAAGGGGCTGGCTGGGGGCATCCCCTCATCATCTGGGACTGCTCCAAGCCTGAGCCTCCTGCTCCCCATGTGCCGGTTTGGTTGTGCCAGGAAAATGGGCTCCAGACAGGGGAAAGCAGCTGGCTGGGGGCATCCCCTCATCATCGGGGACTGCTCCAGCCCTGAGCCTCCTGCTCCCCATGTGCTCTTTAGGGAGAGGACCTGAAGCTCCCTCCCTGATTCATACAGGGACATTTCTGGCTGTTCCCCTTCATCAGGGAGAGCAAGAACGTGCACAGTTTGTTGCATTCCTCACTGTGGCTGGGGTGGGAGAGGTGCAAGGGGCAGATGAACCTGGATCTGCCATACACCCCTCCTCTGGCTGTACCCACTGGAGCAGCAGTGGCCATGGAGAAGGGCTTCGCACCTGGTCCCAAGCTGCTGCAGTAGGAGTGGGCTGAAATAGTCTTTTGTCCCCACTGCAGCCTTCAGACTAAACCCCTAATCCCCAGCCTCACCTCAGAGCAAGGATTTAAATAAAGAAAAACACAAAAATGAACTGAGCTAAGGACCTGAGCAATGGAGGGTAAATCTTCTAGTTTACTATAAATCAGTAAATCCGTAGAGTGGCATCTCATCATGTCACCATTATAATGCCTCCTCTTCAGAGGTTCATAATAAATTATTTGCATATTTGTCTGGGTCTTTCCTAGTAAGATGAGGTTCCACTCTCCCGCTGGGCCTAGTCCAGTCAAGGCAGCTGGGTCAGAAAAGCTCATGAGACCAGGGTTAGCAGGAACAGGAAAGCAGGGTTAATCAGAAGGAACAGCTGGGGCCCCTTTGCTTCCTAGGGAACTAGCTTGGGTCAGATAGAAGGATAAGGAAGTTAACTGCTATGGGCGGGGGGTGATTGCCTAGCTAAGTACCAGTCAGCATTGGAAAAGTTGGACACCAGAACTAGAGGAAACATTTTAGTTTCAACAATGAGAAGTCCTGTGGCACCTTACAGACTAACAGATATATTGGAGCATAAGCTTTCGTGGGCAAAGACTCACTTGGTCAGATGTTTCACCAATTGGGTAGAAGGGTATGTCTACTCTTGCTCCCTATCTCGAGATAGGGATGCAAATGTAGTGTACCAAAATTGCTAATGAAGTGCGGGATTTAAATATCCCACGCTTAATTAGCATAATCACATTTAGCCGCCAGTTTGAAATGGCATTATTGTGAAATAAAATGCCCTGTGTAGCAGCGTTTTTTTGAGAGAAAAATCCGTCTCTCGAAATAACTGTTAAACCTCATTGTATGGGATATTTAAATCCCATGCTTCATTAGCAATTTCGATACACTACATTTGCATCCCTATCTCGAGATAGGTAGCAAATGTGGACATATCCAAAAGGAGAAACGTTACCTCCCTGCTCCTACTCAATACACTCCTGTTTATAAACCGAAGGGTCGCATTCACCCTTTCAGCCATAGCATTGCACTAGGAAATCATGGGCAGTTGTCATAACTTCAAGTCCTTTTCAGAGACACTGCCTTCCAAAATATGGTCCCATATCACAAGTATAGCCCTTGCTTCTTGCATCTGACCCTATCATCAGGTATGTTGTGTGTGGGGACCAGTTTACCTTGAGTTCCAGAGAATTCTGGGTGAGTGACCTGTGCTGTGCTACAACCTAGTCCCAGGAGCAAATGTGTTAGACCTCCCCAGGACCATGGACAGCAAAAGGAAATAATGTAAGAACGAGAACCTGAGTCTACGGAGTTTGGGAGAGCTGATATTCCCACAGTGCCAAAGCCCTCTATTTAACTCCAGGGTTGCCCCAAGAAGTTGTCTGGAGAGCCACACAGACTTTGGCCTGCTGCAGTGTCAGTCTTTGCTTGGTCTCCTGATCTCTGACCCTTAGCTAGGGAACTGGGCTCTTGTGATTCCTCCAGCACCTGCCTGGCAATGACTGCCCCTAATGAGCAGATCTCAGCCCAGCTGTGACGGCAAGGCCTGACCAGCTATGCCATGGGCAGCAGGTAATGTAGGCAAGGGAAGGAATTGCCTTCCCAAAACTGCCTACACTGCCCAGCTGTTTGGGAGGGGCTGAGATCACATCACGCGGAAGCCTGGCAGCCGGGGAAGACTGAGGCTGTGCCACACGGCAGCCCCAGCCCTCAGTTAGGGTTGAGTGGGATCAGATTGCAGGTGTAGGGGGGGAGTTGTTGAAAGAACATGGTCACAGGGGTGTGGCTTGAGGTAGAAGGGGCGGGGCTTTGACTTTCCTTCCCCAGCTGGGCCTTCACCCAGCGCCCATGAGCTATGCCCCAGTCTCTCACAGTAGGATTAGCAATAAAGAATTCAGAGGACTCTCAAATGGAAGCTGATTGTAGCTCAGCTCCTTCTGCGCCTGCAATCTGCTTTGTCACTCAGCCAGCTGCCTGAAGCCCTCCAGCAGTCGCCCCTTAGTCCCTCTCCATCAGCCTTTGCTGCTTCTTAAGGCTGCCGTCCAAGCCAGGCTGTTTCCTGCGCAACCCAGTGACTGGCCATGATACAAGTGTTCTCCAGCTAGCAGTCAGCATCGTACAATGCAGCGCCACCTGGCGGCCAGCAGAAGCGTTGCTACTGCATTGTCCCTCCAGGGAGGAGCAAGGTTGCTCTGTGTACGGGCTCTGTTGGGCACTATCCTTAGTTCCTTCTCTCCCTGGTGGTATTGTGGGAAGTACCCAACCGCCAGAGGTTTCCTGCCCACCCCCTTCCCTCCGCTCAGTTATGAGAACTGAATTTTTCCATGAGGAGTTTAGTTTTGCCAAAAAAATGCGATTTTATTTTGAGAAAATAGGAAGTGGCTACCTTCCTAGAAGGTTCTTGTCAGTTTCATTTTCTGTTGGCACAATTGACAAAAGCTTTCTTAGAGGGCTGTCTTGCAGTATGTGGAGTTGTTCTGCCACTTCCTAGCTCTAGGGGAGAGGAAGGCAGAGGACCTGCAATGCATAGCCACCTCCCACATAGCTGTGGGAGTCAGACACATGGCAGTTGTTTTGCTGTCTCATCCCGATTTGGGGCAGACAATTGTCTCATAGAAAGTTCTGCCTTTTTTCATCTGGTGCTACTGGTAACAGGCTCTGTGTGTGGCAGGGGACTGTAAAAGTCTTTGTGCCCCAGAGATTAGCCCCCTTTACTCCAAATTAAAGTATCAGGTCCATTAGCCTAAAAGTATCAGCATTATCTTCATCATTCTTCTCGCACCACTGGAGCATAAGACAGACATGGAACAATGCCAAAACTCCCCATACTGGGCTTATTTTACCACGTCTTTTGTATTCAGCTGTAACAATGCCACTTTAACCATTATTGAGCTACAGAGTATGCCTGTAGGTCAGTCTCTCTGTCTCTTGCCCTGGAGTCAACAAAAAAAAGAGACCTGTTTGAACATTCTTAAAAATGCCCCAGGTATGTCCCTCTTTTCTTCCATGTTACTTGTAATATTGTAGGTAATTGTGCCCATTCTGGCACCTTTTCACTATTCTGTTGACCGCTTTTACTTTGCTGGTGTTTGCATAGAATATTCGATTAACTCTTTTATTTGCACTGAATGGACTTCCATAGTCATGGATACCAGTTCTGATAATTTTGCTAATTGCATTGGACTTCCATATTGTAGTTAGGTTTTGATAACTTCTGCCTTTAATTTATTAATGAGACTTACTTGCTTGGCAGAATGTGCATGATCATTTGTCTTTCATCTTCAGCTTATTTATTTATGAATGCTCCACTTAGGAAGGAACAATCAGTTTCACACATACAGCATGGGAAGCGACTATCTAGGAAGAAGTATGGCAGAGAGGGATCTAGGCGTTATAGTGGACCACAAGCTGAATATGAGTCAGCAGTGTGATGCGGTTGCAAAAAAAGCAAACATGATTCTGGGTTGCATTAACAGGTGTGTTGTGAGCAAGATTCGAAAAGCCATTCTTCCGCTCTCCTCTGCGCTGGTTAGGCCTCAGTTGGAGTATTGTGCCCAGTTCTGGGCACCGCATTTCAAGAAAGATGTGGAGAAATTGGAGAGGATCCAGAAAAGAGCAACAAGAATGATTAAAGGTCTAGAGAACATGACCTATGAAGGAAGGCTGAAAGAATAGGGCTTGTTCAGTTTAGAAAAGAGAAGATGGAGGGGGGACGTGATAGCAGTTTTCAGATATCTAAAAGGGTGTCATAAGGAGGAGAGAGAAAACTTGTTCATCTTGGCCTCTGAGGATAGAACAAGAAGCAATGGGCTTAAACTGCAGCAAGGGAGGTTTAGGTTGGACATTAGGAAAAAGTTCCTAACTGTCAGGGTAGTCAAACATTGGAATACATTGCCCAAGGAGGTTGTGGAATCCCCATCTCTGGAGATATTTAAGAGTAGGTTAGATAAATGTCTATCAGGGATAGTCTAGTCAGTATTTGGTCCTGCCATGAGGGCAGGGCCTGGACTCAATGATCTCTCGAGGTCCCGTCCAGTCCTAGTATTCTATGATTTATATCAAAATGTCATCTGTAAAGGATAGGTCTCCAAGCTCCCCCTGTAGCCTCACAATGGCCGTTTCCACACTGACTGTCTGTCAAGATCATTGTCATGGACTGTGGGGGAGTCACTGGGCCCTGCATCCCCATCTGAAGTCAGATGTGACTCCCAGCCAGCAAGTAGAACAGAAAGTTTATTCATTGACAGAGATACAGAGTAGCTCAGATTTGTTGTTACAGGAACCAGGAATATTCAGTGCGATCCATCTTGGGGAAAGTGGAGCCCAGGGCCAAGGTTCTGGGGCCCTACTTGGCTCCCCAACCCAGCCCCCCCTCCCTAAGCCAGCCAAAAAACTAATTCACATCCCCAGCCACTGGCCCTAGCCTGGAGGCAGCTCTGCCCCTCCTTTGTTCAGACTGCTGGGCAACCTGTCACTTGGTTGCTTCTCCCACCCAGGCTCAGATCACAGGACAGCCTGAGCTACAGTTGGTACATGCCAAGATGGGGCAGCCTTCCACTCAATATTGCCATCTCCCACTGGGTTCATGTGCAGTGCCCCCCAGGGAAACTGAGGCACACACACACACAGAGTTGCAATAGAACAGTACAGGACAATAAGAATCACATATAACAAAGCAAACAGCATTCACAATCCCCACTACATCACAGTCACTAGCAACTCCAAACAAGATACAGCACAATACAACCCGACCCCAGCAATAACATTTAAACCAGTCTGCTGACTCTTGGTTTGTCCATATTATACATGAAGAATTCTGACACAAATTTATAACAACATGAATTATTTTTTCTGTTATCATGATTCCCTATCTACACCATCAAATGCCTTTTGAAAACCCATACAATTCAAGACTACTTTATCTACCTTTTATTATTTTTGTTGTACAGTCTACTGAAGTTCTACCTGACCAAATAATAGCTCTCAGCTCTCTAAACCTGCTATCTATGGCTTTTAAAGGTTTGTTTAAATGAAGACATCTGGGAAAGTTAATCTGAATTCACTAAAGGCATCAATTTGAAGTGGATTAGTTAAACTATACTAAATCCCTGCAGACACTGTTATACAAAATTAAATTGGCTTTAGTTTATTTATTTCAAGGGCCATTTTAATTATGAATAACAACATTTATACAGAGATTTAATGTGGTTCAACTAATTCACTTCAAATTCACACTTTTATTCATTCTAATTTAGGATGACCTCACAAAAAATTTCCTTGAGAGTGGAAGCAGTGTAATCTTGTGCCAGTTGTTGAAATCATTCAAATGTTCTTTTGAAAGGAGGTTGATTCAGACCCATCTTTTCTATTTTTCTGGGATATATTCTTTCTCTCATACCAAACTGAAAAGGTGAAGCAGGATTTTCACTGAAAGCAGCAGCTCACCCATGGCCCAGCCACTAGAGGGGGACAAATGCTACATGGGGTTAATGTGGGTTATACTGCTGTTAGGAATGAATAGCTATCGTGGTATCAGATCAAGGAATTGTGGTGTCTTAAGATGTTTCTCTTTGTTTATAACAAATATCTGCTGTGAAATAAAGCCCATCCTACCATCTTCAGGAAAGGGGATGGAAAATATGCCTGGTGGAAATGATATTTAAAGTGTGCGGTTTTTTCTAGGAACCCACTGATGAAAGATCCAAGAATGTCAACTGCATACTCACTGTTGCAGGGACTGAAGGATCCCAACTGTAAAGTAAAGACAATATCGTAAGCAAACCCCTCTCTGACAGCCTTTTTGTTCTTGCTGCTATGCCAGGAGCGCTCTGCATTTCTGCCCATTTCCTGATATTACCCTGAATTCTGTTTGAAATCTACCCCTGAGCTGCAAATCATAATAAACACCTAAAGAATCAAACTTCATGAAATTATTAAACTAGCTTCTCTGCCCCCCACCTAGTAAGTGTCCAGGTGTTAGGATGATGCACAAGATGTAGGAATCCTCCTTACCCAAGACACAGACTTCTATGTTGCAGAGATGTCACCCCATATATGGAAGCACATTAATAACATTACATTGGTTAATTCTCAGACCAATTCTTGGAAGACTCCTGCTCATTGTTCTGTTAATGCTCTTCCCTTCTACAACTAGCCATAGGTGGCATCACAGTTTCTCTTGTTCTCTGCCTGTGGGGCACAACTGTCTTATTTCCTGAGGACTGAACATTTTGGGCTAACTATAGTCTGTCAAAGTCAGACACAGAACTCACAGATTTGTCCGAACGCTCTGTTTATTAGCAAAGCCGCTCTGCTAATACACCCAGAAAATGTGAGTACCATTCAAGGCTCAAACCCCTTTGATTTATACAGTCAAAAGAAAGCCAACTTAACAAGATTAAAAGGTGGCAAAACTTCACATGATTAGTATGAGACTAGTCAAGTATCTTCATTTCCACATCAAGCACACAGCGATCTCCTGTCCATATCTCTCTGACTACCTCAATTGCTTTCTACCTAACACCTAATGTTCCTTTTCCTGTTATCCCAGGCTCACCTGGCTTCATTCTGATCTGCATACCTACAAACATAATCATCTCTTTCCTGTTCAAAGACAAACAGTATTCTTTCAACTTAGTATAATTCATCTTTCTCTTACAATATAATTCTTTCTACTTTCACAAGTCTTTAGTCTCAGAGGGGTAGCCACGTGAGTCGGTAACTTTAAAACTGACAAGTAGTCCTGTGGCACCATAGGGCTCATCTAGACTACAGGGAATGGTTGAAAGAAGATATGCAAATTCCACGAGAATTTGGATATCTTCTTACAATCGCATTTTCGAAAGCAGAGCTTTTGAAAGTGAAAGTAATTAAGACATGGCTTTTTTGGCTAACCTTCCCCCCCTTGTCGAAAAGCTGCATAAACCTCATTTTTTGAGGAAAAGCGGCTTTTCAACGAAGAGGGAAATTCCCGTGGAATTTGCATATCCTCTTTCGACCATTCCGCGTAGTCTAGATACGGCCTTAGAGACAAACAAATATATCATGAGCTTTTGTCGGCAAACCCCACTTCATCATCTAAAAACACAGGACGACTGGTTGTTTTTAAAGTCTTTGGCTGTGTCTACGCTGGGCCACTTATTCCAGAAAATCAGCCGCTTTTCCGGAATAAGCTGCGAGCTGTCTACACTGGCCCTTGAATTTCCGGAAAAGCAACGACTCTCTACTGCACAAAATCAGCCGCTATTCCGGAAAAACTATTCTGCTCCCGCTCGGACATAAGTCCTTATTCCAGAACACTGTTCCAGAAAAGGGCCAGTGTAGACAGTTCAGTAGTCATTTCCGGAAAAAAGCCCCGATCGCGAAAATGGCGATCGGGGCTCTTTTCCGGAAAAGCGCGTCTACATTGGCCACAGACGCTTTTCCGGAAAAAGGGCTTTTCCGGAAAAGCAGCCTGCCAATGTAGACGCTCCTTTTCTAGAAAAACTGAAAACGGAATAGTATTCCGTTTTAAGCAGTTCCGGAAATTCATGTCAGTGTAGACACAGCCTTTAGGTTTAATATGGGAGTAGCCTGGTGCTGTGCAGTGTCCTGAGATGTACTGGAGGTCAGACTAGATAATCTGGTGGTCCCTTCTGACCTTAAACTCTATGAAACGATGAAAGTCCCTGACTGGAATCCATCCCCAAGCAGTGGTTGTTTGAGTGACAGCACATGCATGTCCCACATCAGGCTGCCACTTTCTTTCAAAGAAGAAACAGTTCCTAAGCTCTTCCATACCTGTTGTTCTTTGAGACGTGTTGCACGTATCCATTCTGCATATCACCCTCCCGTCCCTTTTTACTGAGTCTTTCTGATTAGAAGAAACGGAGGAAGGTCAGGAGCTGCTCCAGTCTTTCAGGGGCGGGGAACCTTTTTTGGGGCATGTGAGCCGCTGATCCACAGAAAAATCAGACAGGGTCCTCCTCACTGACGTGAGAAAAATATTTCCCTCACCTGCGAGAGGGGCCAGGTTAGTAGATTTGTGTGCTCTAGCTAGGGTAGTGGGGGGTTGGAGTGCCAGCGAGAATGCCCCAATTTTGGGGGGAAGAATCCCGAGCCTCAGGAACCCAAATCCAGGCAAGCTGGGGGCACATTCTCTGTGTATACCATCACAGTGCAGAAAGTCCCCCCCCCCCCCCCCCATCCCGTTGGTGAAAAAATCTCTGACAGCTGTATGCTGGGCATGACGATGTTTCTAGCGTGGGAAGGCTGCGTGCAACACATCTCAAAGAAGAACAGTTGCAGAACAGTTAATAACTTGAACGGCAGGTATAATTGGCCAGAGAAACCCAGGCTGTGGCTCCGCCCACACTCTGCTCTAAGACCCCGCCCCCACTTCACCTCTCCCCCCCAAAGTCAAGTTGGGACTCAGCTTGGGCTAGTCACCTGTAACACGGCCCAGGCTGATCGGTAGCTCAGGTCCCGGGGGAGAGGTAGTTAGGCTGCAGTGAGAGACTTGGAGAGAATCAAGCAGCAATGGGGAGCTTGGGGCTACCCTGGCTCCAGTGGAAGTGGAGTAGGATCAGGCTCTGGGAGTGGCCCCTCAGAGCAGAGCTAACTTTGACCTGTCCACTTCTTCCCTTCAGGTTGTCCAGCTGCAAACTCTCATCCGCTTTCCCTAAGGACCTCTCCCCTCAGACCCTCTTTACAAACCAGGCCCTGGAAAAGCTGGACCTGAGCGCTAATGCACTGGGAGACTCAGGACTGAAACATCTATGTGAGGGACTGAAACAGCCAGGCTGTAAGCTGCAGTCACTGCTGTAAGTAGCCCAATGCTAATCACTGTGTTGTTTCATCCACCTGCCTTGTCCTACCTTTCAGCCTATTGGGTCTTTGAAGCAGAGGTTGTCAGACTTCAGACAGCACCCGGGACACTGGGGCCAAGTTTCTGGTTAGAAGGAACTGAGGAAGGTCAGGAGCCTCTCCAGTCTTTCAGGGGTGGGGAACCTTTTCTGGGTGACAGGCCGCTGACCCACAGAAAAATCAGTCAGGGCCTTTCGTGAGAAAAATATTTCCCTCACGTACGAGGGGGCCAGGTTAGCAGATTTTGTGTGCTCCAGCTGGGGCAGCAGGGGGCTGGAGTGCCAGCACGGGCACCCCAATTTTGGGCGGGGGGAGAATCCCGAGCCTCGGGGGCCAGATCCAGGCAAGTTGGGGGCCAGCAGGCAAGCTGGTTGAAGCCTCTAGGTGTCACTGCAATGCAAATATGTATTACTCAGTAATAAATACCTCCCTATACTGAGACCCAACCCAAACTCAGCAGCAGCAGGATATGTTCACCTCTGCAGGGCAGAACGTGGTGTTGATGGATCCTTCACTGGGCATCAGTGGTGGGAGTCCAGTCACCGTGCTGACTTCCTGTAGTTCTGCCACCGTATTAGCCAAGAGGCTCGACTTGCCCATTCTCAATAAATCCTCTAGCCACAAACTAGACACCTTGTAACTTTTCCTTAAAACTCAGTGTGACCTGCCTGCACCCTTTCCCTGCCAGTCCCCAGCCCACGCTTCACTTTACCAAGAAGCCATACAGATGTCAATGTGTTTGATAGCCATGTAGCTTATTCCTGTAAGGGAAGGTAATCAGCTACACGACTATAAGGCAGCTTCACTCCAGGATAGGCATTTTACCAGAATAAACTCAACACCCCCCTAGGTGATAGAGTGATAACAAGGAAAAAACTGCATCTAGACCACGCCTGACATCTCCCGACTTGCTGCTTTCTCCCATCCCTTCAATCTACCCCATTTCCCACCCCCAGGATTCTTTCCCTCCCAATACCATTGTGCCCTGGGCTCTTCTATCCTAAATAAGCCCAGCTGTATGAACAAAATAACTCCCTAGTTAGCAGCTCCTGGCTCTGATAATTCTGGTTGGGAGGGAGATATCATTTTGGGAACATCCTTACTAAAAATTCACATTCAGATTTGTATGGAATGAAAAGGGTGCTAATTTGGCCCATTGTGTGAGGGAATCTACATGAGGATGAGATTTCTGAGCACAGAAAGAAGAGGACTGACAGGTTCTTATTCTCTGCTCTTTTATGTTTATGCCCTGCACAGCCCTCAGCTGGGTCAGGGTAGCTAGTGATGCAGCTAAACAGGGTATAGCCTATTTCCCCCTTCAATTCAGGCTGCAGGAGGCAGGACTGGCCATGGGACTGGTCAAAACACCTGCAAGAAACTTGGTGAATTTTTCTGAATCCTTTAAACTTCGTTTGTTTCCAAAAGGCAATGGCTTTGTGTCGGGCACTATTTTAAAAATCAATTGAACAAGCTTTTGTTTCAAAATAAGAGAATGAATCAGGGATCATGGATGTAGGCAAGAAACCTGCAGGGGAACGGATAGGGCATTCCACTAGTCTAATGAAATGACCAAACTCTCAGAGTTTTGCTTGTTAACCATGGCCATTGTACAGTGTAATAATCATCTTTCCTGTCTGTGGTCTTTGCTGTGTAGTGCACAATGTAACATTAGAGACAGCTATTTAGAATTCAATTACAAGTTGAAATACCCAATGCTCCCAGTTAATTCTTTGCAGGGTACCAAGCCAAGCATTAAAGTATCTGTTTTCCGTATTTTCCATCTCTTTTCTTGTGGCAGAAGTTTAATAACTTGCAACTGCCTTTCCCAAGGAGATTTTGAGCTAGTCTATACTTATGTCTAAATTGGCACTGCTGCAATCAATGCAACAGTGTCTGTTTAGCAGGTCTGGCAAAGACAAAGTCATGGCAGAGCATTCTTCCATGGAAATCAGTACTCCACCATCTCCACAAGAGGCAGAAGGTCAGTTAGTGGGACAGTGTCTCCTGTTGACATAGAATGGTACAGACACTGCTGTAAGTCGACCTGTGTTACATCCACTTCAATTACATTATTGAAATAGGATAATTTAGCTCGACTTACAGGGTTAGTGTCACCTACCCCTCAGACTTTCTACACTTCGTCATACGCTTATGTCCTGTGCAAGGTCAAAAAGGAGAGCTCTCTACAAGCCATGCCTAACTGGACATTCAATATCTAGAGCAGCCAATCACGGCATCGTAGGAGGACATGCATAGAATGTAAATGTCACATTATCAGATGATTATCCAATTTCTGTATATTTGTGGGTTGCTATCTGAAATATTCTGAACATTTTCTTGCATTGTGTACAAATCAAACGAGAGTGAGGAATTAATCATGTAGTTAATTGTAATTATGTCCATGTAATTATGTAATTATTTTAATTGAGTCTTTATAGACACTGAAAATACCAGGTTACCAGAAAGAAGGAAGTGAAGTGAATACTGACACCTTTCTGGAAGGAGATGGTTATTCTTCTCTCTGTTCCTTTGGCAGGTTGTGGCAGTGCCATCTCACAGCTGCTTGTTGTGAAGATCTCTCTGCTGCCCTCCAGACAAACCAGTCCCTGACGGAGCTGGAGCTGAGTGGAAATAAACTGGGAGATTCAGGAATCAAACTTCTGTGTGAAGGACTGAAACATCCCATATGTAAACTGCAGAAACTAGTGTGAGTCATTGCTGGGTTCCTTGAGAATTTCCTTGTTAAACCAGCCTTTTCAAGGGGCCCGCTAATTTCACACTGATAATAGAGGTCCTATTTTCATTTGTGAAATCACCTACATTTGCAGGAGCAAATGGACATACAGCTACTAAATTGTAAGTGCAAACATTTGGGCAGGTAAATGTGGGTTTTGTACATTCAAACTTATGGTTGTACATAAATTCATAATAGCCACATAGAAATCCATTTTCTGCGGGACTGTCCCTATAAAATCGGGACCTTTAGTTACTCTGCTCTCTCTTCACTCTGCCCATCTCCGTCTCTGCAGGGTTTGGGATTGCCGTCTCACTGATGCCTGCTGTGGAGATCTCTCCTCTCTGCTCAGCACCAACCAGTCCCTGCGAGAGCTGAACCTGAGCGGTAATAACCTGACTGGCTCAGGAGTGAAGCTTCTGTGTGAAGGACTCAGACACCCAAAGTGCAAGTTAGAGAAGCTGGAGTAAGTGACTGCTGCTTTTCTGTATCCAAGGAATCCGTCGCAGTGTGTGCCGGGCTTCCGGCCACCTGGCTCTGTCTGGGCTGCATGAACCAATGATGGGAGTTGGGCTGAGATGTACAGGCTGAGGCAGGAGTGTGTTCTGTGTCTCTAGGTCAGGGGGGTTTCAAACCGTTTTTCTTGTGACCCAGCTGAAGAAAATTGTGGATGCCCACGATCTAACATACTTTGACAAAGTGTGGGTTCCAGAGAGGGGTTGAGGATGAGAGCTTCAGCTTTGCGGGTGGTCAGGGTTGGGGCAGGTGGGGCTTCCCTCAAGCAGCTCCAGGCCAGCAATGCAGCAGGGTTGCTAAGGCAGCTTTCTACCTGTCCTGGCACCACAGACCATGCTGCACCCAAAAAGCAGCCAGCAGCAGGTTCTAGCCAATGGGAGTACGGAGCTAGTGCTCAGGGCAGGGGAAGTGCACGGAGCCCTGTGTGCTCTTTGGCCACATGCCTTCACCTAGGCACAGAGACTGCTGCTGGCTGCTTCTGGGGCGCAGCACAGTCTGGGGTGCCAGGACAGGCAGGGACCTTCCTTAGCAACCCCACTGGTCACCTGATCTTGCTGCAGCAATGAGACCCAGCGCCCGACATTCCATAACCCAGTATTGAATTGCGACCCATAGTTTGAAAACCACTGGTCTAGGAGGTACTGCACACACAAGGGCAACCCAGGGGAGAGTGCTAAAGCACCTTTAAGCCACCTTTGCACAATTCTGACTCCAGGCAGGTAAGGACCCGAAACAGTGTAATTTAGGCACCCTGCCTCCTCCCAAACTCCTACACTGGGACTCGCACAAAGCAGTCTATGACTGTCTGAAACAACGCTAGCACTGAGGGAATTCCTTCCATGCTGCTAGGCAATATTGGCCTTCCATGATTTGGCAGATTCTCTATCTTGGCACCAGGCAGGTCCCAAGGGTGCTGGACTACAGAGATTCAACCTGTACCATGTATCAGAGGGGTAGCCGTGTTAGTCTGAATCTGCAAAAGCGACGAGGAGTCCTGTGGCACCTTATAGACTAACTGAAGTGTAGGAGCATAAGCTTTCGTGGAAATTCCCACTACATGCATCTGACGAAGTGGGTCTTTGCCCACGAAAGCTTATGCTCCTACACTTCGGTTAGTCTATAAGGTGCCACAGGACTCCTCGTCGCTTTTGCAGATTCAGACTAACACGGCTACCCCTCTGATACCTTCCTCCCCAACATCTAAGGGGCTGTTACTGCTCTGTATGCTGGAGCAGCAGTGCGCAAGGGCTGCAGAAGGAGGGAAAATTGTCCCTTGTCACTGTTCCCTGTAGGTTGAGCACTTGGGAAATTGCCCAGGAGAGATTTAGGTGCCAGCCAGCTGAGTAGCAGAGCACCCACAGCCAGCAGCATAGATTTCTATTGATGGTGCACATCTGCATGTTCCTATGTGCACATAACAAAATTTATTCTGCGCATAGATGGAAAAAATTAGAGGGAACAGTGTCTCCCGTGTGTGTGTTTCTTATGAAATGCAAGCCAATTGGTAGAATTTTGATCAATATTTGACTAGTGAACCCTTTACAAAACTACTAAAAAATCGATGTATCTGGATTTCTAAACTAGTCACCAAATAATAAAATATGCAATTGGATTTTCCTGCCTTCCATCTCTCAAATGAGCACTGTGCACAGTAGCAGGGCTGTTTCCTTCCCAACGCCAAACCAATCAATTGTTGCTAAATGCATTCAGAATGCATGTATGGTTTTCTGCCATGGCTGATGATGATGTCACAGCACTGCATGTGTTCTCGTCTGGCTGTGTAGCCTGACCCAGGAGGAGCAAGGCCACAAACATGTAGCACTAGAAAGTGCAGTCTTCCCATGGAAGATTTTTTTATGTTGCTTGGCCCTTAGTTTCAATCAGTTTTTCGTTTCTGTCTTCCTCAAACTGTTCACAACCATCATTGACCGTAGCTCTCCAGTCATGTCTGTCCTTGGCTCTGCTCCTTCAAGGACGTCAATATTGGGGACTTTGTCTTGCCATTGACCATCGGAATGTAGCGGGGAGGGCACACGTGGAAGTTTTGAAGTGGCTTACTGTGTCTGTGGCAAGCTGTCCATGTTTCACACCCACAGGGAAGGGAGGCTGTCTCAGCTGCATTGTGGATAAAGTTAAGATGGTGCCATGGGTATTTTTAGTAATAGTGAGGGAGAGGTCATGGGCAACACACAGAAATTCACAGAAGCCTGGAAGCTGTTCCTTGAATTTTACCAAAAATACCCTGGACCCTGCTGGTTGGTTGGATTAACAGCAGGAGTGCTATGGAGAGAGTCAGTGGGTGCTGCTACTCCAGAGGACCCCAGGGCCAGCCACTGGCCAGCTTCTCTGTTGGTCCCAGGGCTGGTTGTTGGTCAGGTGCTGGGAGAGACTGGGCACCATCCCACTGCTATAGGGGGGCTGGTTACCAGCTGTGACAGCTGCTCCTGCAGCAGGCGCTGACCCAATCTGCCGCTTCAGCCTTGAGTCACAGCTCCAGCAGGCCCTGGAACTGACAGCTACTGACTGCAGCCCTGCCATTGCAGCAGAGGTCTAGGAAAGCCACCGACTCCATGACTTCCGTGGCCTGTTCCAGCATCCCACCCTTAACGGCATGTAATCAGTTCTGTTGAGTGTTTGATGATTTGCGGATTGAGTAGCCAATGGGGAAGTCTTCTGGTGGCCTGGGTGCCTCTTGTATTCTACCTGATTTTTCTTGTAGTTGTACCCCAAAAAGTGGAATGTTGTGGCTAAGGTGCTGTCAGCTGCTAGACTGTTACCACTGTCCAGTTCTTCTGTCCTTGGCTCTCTAATGCATCTTGTCTAATAACTAGGGGGGATGTGAATTTGCACTTTCTGCATTAGTTCCCTGACTCTTGTGATGAGACCAGCACCTGTCTGGAGACACGGGTGCCCTGCTAGGACTCTGAAGAGGCAGCTGTGCCCTTGACCACACCCTGTTCTGACCATTTCTTCCATGCTCTGTTTCACCGTTCACTCTCCACAGTGATCTAGCTCCCCACGTTCTACATTTCCTATTCCCTTGCTGGTCGGTTAGGTACGTTCAGCGACATGACATAGGTGGGATGGGATTTAAGAAGACTGCAGTCAAATCTCCACAGTAACTTGGGGTTTGAGAGATTCCTTGTTGAACTGTCAAGTTGTCTGAGCTTTAACATGTTACTTTCTGATGCTTTTAGACACACATTTCCCTGATCTGAAGGGTATAGGATGGCAAGAGTTTGGGGGGAGGCAGAACAACAGGATTAATGTTATTGAGGAACCATAATTCTACATTTCTATTTTTTCCAAAACTGTCTTTTCTTAGTGCAACTTTCTCATTGTAACATTGACTTTCCCTGTCATCTGTGGTTTTAAAATTGCAATGCTGTCTTAGGCTACATTTCCATGAAGTCGTTGATAAATATTTACAAACTTGGCACTAGGTTGATAGTTTTGTGTCATGGTTCATTTTTCTTTTCACAGCTTGTTTGAAAGCCACATCGATGAAACAACAGCCATGGAGTTGGACACTGTGCAGAAAATAAAACCAGGCTTGTCGATTGTGCATGGTGCAGGATCCAGAGGTCAGAACCCAGGTACAAAGACAAGGAGGATGGCATGTCTTCTGCGTCAGTGCCGTGCATCCATCTGCAGACTAACAGCTCGAAGTGCAGACCTGGTGCAGAACATTTTTGTGACGCACTATTGGGGCATTGGATTTGTGCTGCTGTTAAGCATTGCTACATACTGCCTTCATTGGCTGGTATATTGTTAAGTGTCTGAAATGCGAGGTTGTATAGAGTATCAGTAAATCTTGAGGCAGTTTCTGACTCCCTTAAAGGAATTTGTTGGTGTAAGAGGATATAAGGGGGGATTGATTGCCTTTATAAAGCTGGGGTATAATACACCTGGCCCCATGTGTGATGTATTTTTGTTGCTTTATCACCATAGTCAAATTCTATGCTTTTCTTTATTGACTTTTAAAAGTAGCCTTTTCTTTATACCTATGGGCTGTGTCTACACTGGGCCACTTGTTCCAGAAAATCAGCCGCTTTTCTGGAATAAGCTGTGAGCTGTCTACACTGGCCCTTGAATTTCCGGAAAAGCAACGACGCTCTACTGTACAAAATCAGCCGCTATTCCGGAAAAACTATTCTGCTCCCGCTCGGACATAAGTCCTTATTCCAGAACACTGTTCCGGAAAAGGGCCAGCATAGACAGCCCAGTAGTCTTTTCCGGAAAAAAGCCCGGATCGCGAAAATGGCGATCGGGGCTCTTTTCCGGAAAAGCGCGTCTACATTGGCCACAGACGCTTTTCCGGAAAAGCAGCCTGCCAATGTAGATGCTCCTTTTCTGGAAAAACTGAAAACGGAATAGTATTCCGTTTTAAGCAGTTCCGGAAATTCATGCCAGTGTAGACACAGCCATGAGGTCAAGGCCTTCTCGTCTGTGAAATGCGCCTCACTGCTCCAGTGCTATCTGGCTGAAGACTCTGGGAGGTGTGACTCTCATGCTAATCCTACCCCCACGTTAATCTCTCGGGGAAGGAGGGGTTAGTTCACATTGACATTGAAGTGTCACCCCTGGGATTTAGAACTATTGCACTGCTGATCGTGATCGTGGATGGAATGGGGAAGAGAAGCGGAAACAGGATCCTATAGATGGCAGTGTGACATCTCTGGGGCACAGTCTGGAACTATAGGACTGCCGAGTCCCCTTAAACTCTTCAGCCTGCTCTGCCTCTTATAATGCTGTGCTAGCGATAAGCCGCAAACCCCTCCAGGTGCTGTGATCACCAAGCAGTGACGTCGTTGATCTGCTTTTATACTTTCTCTCCAGGTGTTGGGAAGATCTTTGCTGTGTGAGGCAGGGGTTACGCAGCTTCCAGTGGTATATGCCTCTCTGAGGACTGTGTGGGAGAGGGGATTCTTCCTCATGAGCCGTCAATGCGTGTCCAGCCAATCTAGATGTCCATCTGTTGTGTTAGTGTTGCTACTGAAAGGCCGGCTGTGGGCATTCCCTACTTACCACCTATTTCAGTGGCAAACATATAGTCACACCCCCTCTCTTCACATATAATCATAGGCAACATGTAGGAAGGGCACGTGGGGTCAAACGCCCCCCAGATTTCTGCTGGCAAGACAGGGAGATAGGGAGAGGAGTTCTGTCCTACTCTTGCTGTGCCTGGCCTCTACCATGCTTGGCCCCTGTCCTTGGCAGCCAGGACACTTAAAGTTGGGAGGGGCAGGAGCAGCCACGTCTCATGCTGCCTGCTCCAGCTTGGTGCTCTGGGCAAGAGCTGGGGTGGGGGGAGAAGGCAGCTGCTCGATCCCTTCACTCCCTGCCCAGGCCTGGCTACTAGGGACAGGGACTGAGCGAACCAGAGGCCGCCCCCACCCTGAGCACTTTTCTGGCTCACTCGGCCTCATCTCTGACTGCTGGGCCCAGGTGGGAAGCTGAGGGAGCGGGTTCCCTAGGCTCTCTGCACAGAACAGTGACCCTAATCAGCCACCTTCAGCTGCTGGAGAAGTGACTCCATCCCCTCCCCGCACAGATCCGGCTGCCATGGAGAGCATCTGAATGTGCTGGGGAGGGGGCAGGCCAGCAGGAGAATAACAGACCCCCCCTCACTGACGGTGGGCTGGGGAGAGAGCAGCAGTCCCCAGGCCGATTTCTGGGGATGGTGCTGGGAGCAGGTTTCCAGGGTGCTAGTCTGAGGTACAGGCTGTCACAGGGAATTAATACAGGGAAGGAAATATACAAGAGAAAAAAGAAGAGCTATAAAGAAAGTAAAGGGGGGAGATTAAGAACAGGGGAGAAACATGGGCTGAGCCTTAAGAAGAGCAGATTTCCCCAGGCAGGGAGACTGACAGCAGGATACTGAACCACTAATAACTGAGCTTTTGCTTTGTTAATATCATTGCTCCTTAAGGGCCATGTCCTACCCTTGAGCTCTGTGCCAAGCTCCCATTCATGGGAGCAGTGCTGTGAATCGGGGGACGTGCAGAGCAGGACTTTGTGACCTAAGGACCATAACTGAACAATGAAATTCAGCCCCTTCTGAAGAGTGAGTGTGATACATCCCATGAGTGTCAATGAGTGACCGCATATAAGGGGTGAATTCCTGGCGCCATCTGGGCTCTCTGCTGAAACAGACTCTCAGCTCCGTACATTGAGGACTCCGTTTTGCAGTTAAAGCCACCCTGGCTGACAGCTGCTTCTTTGCCCAATTAGCCTTGCAGTGGCCAGAGTGATACAAAGCTCATTATGGCGTATCCTTGCTTAGCGTCCCAGAGAGAATGAGGCGGTTGCCACGCAGTTGAGCCCTCTGGGTGCTATAGCAATGTGACCACAAATACAAAAGAGCACAAGGGGACTGAATATTTTGGTACTTTTACGTGCCTGTTCTAGGATACATGAGTGGAGAGACTGTTGTTAGTCTCGATTTCATCCTAGCTGACTGAAAGCAGCTACTTTGGTTAGTTACAGTGACCACAGCATTGTGTGTAACATCTTTGGGGCAGAAAGTCTGCCAGAACTATCCGAATGGTACTAATATTTGGAAGTCTCAAAGGGATTGCCATGTTAGTCTGTAATTTTAAAAACAATGCGTGGTCCTGTGGCATTTTAGACATTAACAAATGATGGCTGTGTCTACACTGGCAAGTTTTTCCGGAAAATCAGATGATTTTCTGGAAAAACTTGCCAGCTGTCTACACTGGCCGCTTGAATTTCCAGAAAGCACTGATGATCTAATGTAAAATCATCAGTGCTTTTCCGGAAAAACTATGCTGCTCCTGTTCGGGCAAAAGTCTTTTTCCGAAAGACTTTTGCCTGAAAGGGCCAGTGTAGACAGCATAGTTCTGTTTTCCGCAAAAAAGCCCCGATCACGAAAATGGCAATCAGGGCTTTTTCGAGGAAAAGCGCGTCTAGATTGGCCACGGACGCTTTTCCGCAAAAAGTGCTTTTCCAGAAAAGCATCCTGCCAATCTAGATGCGCTTTTCCGAAAATGCTTTTAACGGAAAACTTTTCCGTTAAAAGCATTTCCGGAAAATCATGCCAGTGTAGATGTAGCCTATACGTATATAGAAGCATGATCTTTGTTGGGCAAAACCCACTTCCTCAGACGAGCAGGGAGTGTGTGTGGGGGGGGAGGTATTAAACCAGTCGGGTTGTCCGAGGCCACCAGACAAGGAAAGGCTAATGACATCTAAAGGCTGAGTCTGGAGTGCCACAGGGCTTTCTAGTAAGCTTCTGGCTTGTGTATGGGAACGGTTGTGGTTATCCCTTCTCAAGGGGCTACAGCAACATATGTTGCTAGGGTGAAAGCCTTACAAAGGAAACCATAAGTGATGGATTCAGGACAGGCCTTCTGGTGAAGGCAAGTGAAGCGCAGTGGCACTGAAATACCTGACCTCAGTTGGGTGGGAGAGAGCCACAGTTCTATGTTGCGGGAGGTGACAGGTGAGTGCCTGAACATTAACTCCCTTAAGGGAGACCAGAAGGGGGGATCAAAAGGGCAGTTGTCTCTGAATCGGTGACGTGCCTTTTTCACAGGAATGAAGTTACCTGCTTCCTCTTCACTTTCTGGGGCTGTTTGTTGCACAAGTGCTAATATCATGGGTGGGGCCAACTCTGAGGGGGTGTGGAACCTGGAATAGTTCCCTCCTCCACTTCAGGCCTTGCACTGCCCTGCTTCTACCTGCTCCTGCTCTGTCCCGACCCCCTCCCCTGCCCTATGCCCCCTCCCTTGAGTGACTCTGGGAGCTGTCAGCGCAGAGCAGGCTGGGGCCCCCATTAGTGAGTGAAGGTGCAGGCCCAACCTCGATTGAGGCCACCAGGGCCCCCACTCATCCTCCCTGCTACTGTTGGCCCCGCACTGCCATGTTCCCCTGAAGCACAGGCCCCCAAAGCATGGGACCTGAGACACTTGTCCTGAACCATCCTATGGACAGGCTGGCTCTGGTCATAGGTCCATGTATATTCCTCATGCTGTGCCATATCAGCATTGGGAATGTAACCAGTGATTTTTCACCCAAGCTCTGCAATGTGAGCAAGTGACTGTGGCCTAGTGGCAATCGAATAGCAAATGTGAAACTCTTTATTCTGAAAAGCAGCAATTATGTCACGTTTCTCTTTTCAGGTCCTTGCTCCTTTTGAAAGAGAGAAATGAATCCGTCAGGCTGCTGGGCAGGCTGCAGATGGCCATGTTTCTGAATCTCAAAGCAGTCAGCTAACTACAGAAGTCAATTGCACGACAGGAGGAATATAATTAGCTCAGTGATTTCTTTCAGCTGCATCCATACTAGGAAACCTCAGTATTTATGAAGGCGCTTACATTCACTTTCACTGTTGAACTAATTCCAGAGTTTCCACAACAACACAAAAGCAGCACAATAGTAATTCATAACTTGCCACCCCTGAGTGGAATTTCCAAACATTGCCATTTGAACACACTGCATTGGATAAAATAATACAAGAAACGTATTAGTTACAAAGAGATTTATGCTCATTGCTTGTACTCATTTAAAAAGTCAGAAATAGTTACACGGAAAAATAAATATAAAACATTTATTGATGCCTTAATTCACAAGCAATCTTACATTCAGAGCAGAGTCTTCTTGCCACTTGCTTCAGCAGCCTCACAAAACTGCCCACGAAAGCTCATGATACCATCTATGTTTTGTTAGTCTATAAAGTGCTACCAGACCATTTGCTTGCTGTTTTTTTTTCTTAGGTTTAGAATCCATTCTCCCTAAAATCCAGTACATGCTGTCTTTGTCTTGTTGCTTCAAGTGCCATGAATGCAAAGGGCAGGAAAGGAGGCTGAAGTGCCTTGAGGTGTTTATTCCTTCTTTTTATAGTAACAGTCATGCTCCTGGAAAATATTTCCAGCTAAGATCCTAGAAACAAAACATCTGGGCTATGTCTAGACTGGCATGATTTTCCGGAAATGCTTTTAACGGAAAAGTTTTCCGTTAAAAGCATTTTCGGAAAAGAGTATCTAGATTGGCACAGACGCTTTTCCGCAAAAGCACTTTTTGCGGAAAAGCGTCCGTGCCAATCTAGACGCGCTTTTCCACAGAAAATCCCCGATCGTCATTTTCGTGATCGGGGCTTTTTTGCGGAAAACAAATCTCAGCTGTCTACACTGGTCCTTTTGTGCAAAAGTTTTGCGCAAAAGGGACTTTTTCCTGAACGGGAGCAGCATAGTATTTCCACAAAAAGCACTGATTTCTTACAGTAGGAAGTCAGTGCTTTTGCGGAAATTCAAGCGGCCAGTGTAGACAGCTGGCAAGTTTTTCCGGAAAAGCGGTTGATTTTCCAGAAAAACTGGCCAGTCTAGACACAGCCCTGTGGAGAAGGATGTTCCCTGCTGCTTGTCCACACCTGATTGAGGTTTCTTTGGCTACTTTTCCTGTGTGATGATTCTGTTACCTGCTTAAATGCAAATTAAGCAGAGCACTCATGCCTTTGTTGCAGACAGACCTGTTTACCAACATCTGGTGTGATTTGGACCATGTGTTAATAGTATTATATAGGGGAATCTTATAACTTTACGTACAATGTTTCTATACATATTTTATCAGGGCAATATTGAGACCAGCAAATTATGTGTTTTCAAATCTCGCACCAGGCATACTATGCACAAAAATTACTGTAGCAGTGTATATGTATATATGGGGGAGAACACAGGGGAACAGACTGTCATATTGGGGAAACTTTTTCCTGTTTGGTTAGAAGAATGGGCATAGAAATTGAAAAAAAAAATAACTTCCAGCTTTCAGCATTCTTAAGTTTTGTTGTGCAACTTGGTGAAACATACTGTAACACTGGCAAACATGTAATAAAACAAGTTTAGAAAAATATTTTTTATTAAAAATTCCTTCATATTGCAAGGCAAGAGACAACATTAAGACACAATTAATTCTCTGCAAATACACCAGCAACTTCTTTAAAAAAAAAAAAAAAAAAGCCAGAAAACCCCAATTTTTTGACAAGACGAGAATTCGAAGTTCAAGTTCCATTTTAAAAAAAGGAATCTGATAGGAAGGATAGGAAAGCACAGCTGTTTGAGGAAAGAGGTGGAGTAGGATTAGGGCTCATTCTTTCCTTAAATTTGAAGATGAGATTCTATGTTTTACATTTTGTGGGTGAAGAATTGAAAATGTGAACCACACAATACTCAGCCCACTTCCTGCTGCTTGCCACATCCCTCTTCTCCACTCCTAGCCAACTTTGGCAGCCCCAGGGACCACAAAAATACCCACAACATATGCAGTGGGCAGCACCCCAACCAAAAGTTGTTGAGCAAAAAAAAAAAAAAAAAGCAGGGACATTTCCCCCACCCCCACCAGAATGCACAAGCACTGGCACACAAACGCTGGCACGGGCAAAATGGTGGCTACTCCGGCCACCTGACACTTCTTCCCTATGTTGCCAGCTGAAGAGAAAAAAAAGCAGTGAGTTACGCAACACACCGCGGGCCACACGTGGAGGTGCTGAGGACCGTATGCAGCCCACAGGCCACATATTGAGTAGCCCTGGCTTAATGTGTTCATGATGGCAGAGCTACCTTAAAAGAGGCAAGTCCCATCCCATGGTGCTGTCCCAGCTAGCAGGATCACAGGCAGGCCAGAGCAGTGTGGGTACATTGGCCCCTGCTTACCAGTTCTTCCATACATATATGACCATATCAGGTTTTCTCTTTTTCACAGCTTCTAGCTCTCTCTGTGTTTCTTCATTCACATTGACACTGCTCAAGCTGTGGGGGGAAACAAGTCAAGAAAAAATACTAAACCATTCCCAAGAGCACAGACCCTTTGAAGCAGGTAGCCACCACTGATTTCAGTGGAATCAGATCCAGAATGCACACGCCAGACTATCGCAATTAATGTTCATACACAACTATCTGGGCTCATCTTCTTTCCCGACTGCACACATTTTTGATCCACCCCAGTAATCACCATCTGCGCTGGATTCCCTTTGAAGTCTGACTAGGTCTGCCTTTGCCTGCTGAAGAGGCTGCTGTTGAGCAAGAAGGGGAATTCTTAGCCACTTAGAGGGAGGGAGATGCCAGCATAGGAAATTTATATCAAGCAATAAAACAGACTTTGGGGAAATTATTTGTTCCTGAATTGTTATCGCTCTATACAAGTTCTTGTTTTAAATCTAAATAATTTTAAATGCTGTCATTATGGAGTTTGACCACAGGCTGTATACAGGAGATTAGGACTGCAAAAAGACCTGGATATTGTTCAAATGTATTTGCTATCCCAGTGCTCAACATAACTTACTTCCATGTTTTCATTCCATCAGTCTTATCTTCCTTCCTTGATTTCTGGTCCTTTTAGTTCTCTCTCTCTTAATAGATTGGCCTTTCCCCTTCAGGCCAATGGAATAGAAAGTTCAAAACATTCTCTCACATCAGTGGAGTTAAAACCCCAAACTGATTGGCTGGCACGAGATTTAAATGGTGCTTGAGCAAATACCCTGGTAGCTTTTATGAACCAAAAAGGTCATAAACGGCATTTAAAACTGCCTGACATTGTGCTGGAGGAAAAGTTGATTGAGGAGCCAGCTGAACTTTCCAAGCCTACCTACTAATTCCAACCCTGAAAGATAAACCACAGCAGCATCGATCTTCCATGTACTGTAGACGTGCCCTAAGAGCTACTGACTGGACAGCCAGCCAGCAGGCAAAGGAGTGAAGGAACCAGGGTTGCCCATCACAGGCAGAAAAAGAAGTTAAATATGAACAATTAGGTGTTCACTTTGTAACCTTTTCCTTTCTCTCTCTGTTTGACTTTGTCCCAACATTATTTGTTGAAATAGTGGTAAATTATAATTTGAGCAGAGAGTTATTCTAACTCAGTTGTGAAAGGGTCCCAGACTTGTATTCTCAATCATGTTTACTGAATAATCAACAAGATTCTAACATAAAACTACGCGGCCATTGGAGTGCTCAAGCAGCCACTTTATTGTCTTACTTTTAAGCTAGCTGAGCTTCATGAAAAATACATTTGTTGGTTTGGTGGCTAAAGCGAAAAAAAAGGTTCATTTTGAACCAAAACTGAACATTTTTAGTTTTTTCTTGATGAAACAAATCAAACAGCGTTTGCTGTGTGTCAAATGAAACAATTTATTTGACTCACAAAAACATGTGGAGGGTTTTTGTGTGGTTTGTTTAGCTTCCTTTCAAGTTATTTTGTGCATTTATGTTTTACTTTGTTTTTAAGGGTTTTTTTTAACCCTCTTAAGAAAACAATCAAATTTAGCTAAATTTCTAAATAAAATTGTTACAAAATGACAAGTCAAAAGCTTAGTCTCAAAATGATCATCCTTTTATGATACACAACCAGATTCAACCTCAATTTGATCCCAAAACAGCATTCTTCTGTGAATTTACTATTTGACCAAAAATGTCACCCAGCTCTACTATTAACCCAGCAGTGGCTCTTTCTTCTTCGCTCTGCAGAAGACTACGGCACCAGTTCTTGGGAGCATGCACAATAACGCTGTGACCCCAATGGAAAGAACTAAGAACCATACCACTATGGGCCAGATTTTCCAAAGAGCTCAGCGCCCACACTTGGGGCTGAAAGTTCAAGAGGACTGAAGTCTCATTTGCCCAGTGTGCTGAGCTCTTCTTAAAATCTGACTATAAATGTGGCAGTGGGAGCTACCGTGTGATGAGCACATTAGAAAAAGTGGCCCCACTTGAGAGGAACACCTGCTAAAAGAACACACCTCCAACTTACCCTAGTTTCTGTAGTTTGCAGTTTGGGTGTGTCAGTCCTTCGCACACCTGTTTCACTCCTGAATTGTCCATTGTTTTCTCTCCCAGGATCAGCTCCGTCAGCGTCTGGTTGGTGCTTAGCACAGAGGCGAGATTCCCACAACAAGCTGCTGTGAAGCGGCAGCCAATCAGTCTGCAGGAGCCCGAGATATACAGCAATTAGTGACTGCTTATCTTTGCCCCACAGAATGAAGACAGACTAGGGCACTGTGAAGGGGCTTTGGGATTAGTCATAGATGCTCAGGCCACAGAAAGGGCCACTGGGACCTCCAGGATAGACCATCCCCCAAACGAGTCCTGTCTGAACTACAGCAGAGTTTCTAGAAAACACCGTCCACTCTTCATTTTCAAATTGGCAGTGACAGGGAATCCACCTCAACTCTTGGCAAATTGTTGCAGTGCTCAGCTGCTCTCCCTGAGCCCTATTTCCAGTCTGAATTTGTCGAGCTTCCACTTCCGACCAGTCGATCCTCTTACACTTTCCTCTGCTAGACTGAAGAGCCCATGAGCAAATAAATGTTCCCCAGGTAGTAGGGACGTCAAATCCCGTTTCATTGGTTAACAGGTTAAACATTATGGCTAACTGTTTAAAGAGGGGAAGATGAGGGGCCGCTCCAGCCCCACTGGGCTGGAGCAACACCCCTCATGTGGACAAGGACTGCTCCAGCCAGCTGGTCAGCACACCACCCAAGCCAGGCTCACCATGGACAGACACTGCTCCAGCTGGTCAGAGCAACACTTGCCTGCATCACACCACCCAGGCTGGGCCCACCATAGTGGGTGGGGAGCTGCTCCAGTTCCTACTGGGTAACTGGAACCAGTAAGTCTCACCCATTAAAACCACGTAGATATTAGTAGAGTGTCAACTCTTATTCTTTTCTGTCCTCAGCTGAAGAGACTGAGCTCTGTCACTAGATGGCAGCATTTTCCAACCCTTGAATTATTCTCATGGCTCTTCTCTGAAGCCTCATCAATTTGGCAACATGTTTCTTGGGCACCAGAACTAGACACAATATGCCAAATATGGAGGTAACATAACCTCTCTGCTATTATGCAGGTGTCTTTGGTTTAAATATCCACAGCTCAGGTTAGCCCTCTTGGCCACAGCTTCACGCTGGGTGCTCATGTTTGCCTGTTATATATATATATATATA